AATACACAGATAATGAAAAGGAATTTAAAGTGCATATACGAATCGATGATCACTGGTTAAAGCAGGGCACAAGTTAATTGGAATAAATGTGTAAAATATTTTAAAATAAGATGTTCAGTGATGCAGTTATATATTAAAAATTTTCAAAACTAAATTTTAAAAAACACCAATACATGATGTGAATCTATATTTTATAGGCCTTTATAGGAGTTACAGTAATAAATATAAACAAATTTTGCATTAAAACACTTAATTTAATTATATTTTTAAAAAATAAAATTTACATATTTAGTGTATTTTTAAAGATTTCATTCAGATAATGTTGCTAAAAGGTAGATAATTTCGATAATGATGAATACTTCAATCATCTCTGGCTTACGTTTAGGGACTTTAGCTAATCAGCATTACATTTATTTTAATAATGATGCAAACATCATTTGAAAGAATCCTCTCAGGCTTCTTCCAAATAATGTAATGCAAAAGATTCAGGCAATCTTTTTAAGCTAACAGCTCTCAGGACATTAATAATTTTTATTTAAAATAATTTACAAAATATATTTTTCGCGAAAATTTTATTTATAAATCTATTTAATTTATCATTTTATTTCTACTAACCTAAGATATTTTGAAAATTTCAAGGTACTTTTTAACAAACAATTGAAAATTTCTTTAATTAAACTAAATTCTAATTAAAATTTCTAATCTATTCTATTGATTCTTATGTAAATTTCTATATATTTTGTAGTCAAATTTTTCATATTTGCAATATCAGGACACCGATATATTTGTCAGATTGAATTTTTGAAAAGTATTTTAGGATATTTGGTACAAAGAAAGTTTAGTTTTAATCAAAAAAAAAAAAAACAAAAACTAAGTATAGAAAGAAAGATGTGATATGAATTATTTAAAAAAATCTCTTTATACGAAATGGTATCTGATATAGGCATTGATATTCTCAACGAAAAATCTTTATAGTACTCTCAACAGATGATAAAAACAAAAACAAAAGTTGATACTGAGATATATATATATATATATCACTGTCTGGAAAAATTTTCTATAAAGCAGTTATATTGCTTTCCTGTCACCAATATTTCCTCAAATCAAACAAACATTTGGATTACGTAAGGCATGAAAATGGATTTTTAAAAAATACATTAATTTTTAAGTATTTAATTTTATTCAATTAAATATATAATTGGCAATGATTTCGTACCTTTTCAATTCTTACTAAATCATCAAAGAAAAAAGTTAGCCGATTGTAAACATCTCTCTTCATTAACTTATGTCAAGCTTTGTCTTTTATTGGATGTGATCCCTTTACAACAGTAAATGACAATAAATTTATTGAGTAAAAATATTACAAGCATGAATACGATCTTTATAATAAGTTAATCAACTGTTTTCGTATTGAATATAGTCGGTTCTTTTATACTTTTACATGCGATTAATTTTTAATAGAAAATTTTTAATCGTTATTACTTGTTACAAGTTGATTTGTCAATTCTTTTCACAAGTTAATGCATTAATCGAATAAAGATTTTTCAACGTTTTACTGATTTTCTCAAGAGAGGATGCTGCTGTAGTAAATTCTAAATATTGACGCAACTAATTTTATTAAAATTAATTAAAAAATTATATCTTATCCTACTTAATATGATAATTTAAAAAGTTTTAAATATTCAAAGACATAACATTTTTATTATTCTCTTAAATATTCTACTTATACGTCTCTTACTAATTAACTATAAATATTTAGACACAAGAACAATAATAAATATGAATTTAAACATTTATTAGATTTATCAAGCGAATATTTAATATTTTAAAATATTATTATTATTATTATTATTTTAGTTTATATGTACTTAGATTTATTTAATTTTAATTACTATATTAATAAATCCTGTTTATTCAAATTATGGAAATAAAGTTTATGTATAATATTATTTAAATTGTTAATAAATAAAATGTTGTTCCATTGCTGGATTGATTATTAAATAAAAAATTAATTTTTTTCTTATATTTTTTTCTTAAATCACGTGGCACGTTTTTAATTTTGGTAAAATAATTCACATAAGTTGAATGTAAGAAAATAACAGAAGAAAAAGTTTAAATTAAAATTTAATATTGAAAAAAACATTCTCTCTTCTATGATATTTATTACCTGAGAAAAACTGACAAATCTCCCGTTTTTTTTTTTTTTTTTTTTTNTTTGAACTTCGAAATTTGAGAATTATTTATAAAGAAAAGTATTGAACGAATTTTTATGGTTCATTCCTTTGAAAAAGATTCTTTCAACGTAAAATTTATTGTTGAAGAAATCTCTAAAGAATATTTGATACGTGTTTGTAAATGGCTACGTTACAAAAGCATATGAAATTATATTTTTATCTATTTGTCTTTGATAACAAAATTTATAACTGGAAAACTTTAGAACAGAATATTATTAAATTACACAAACAGAAGACACAAATTTTATCTTTTTTTATATATATTTTTCAAGACGTATCAAATGAAATTTATTGTTCAAATACTTAGAGTTGAAAAGTAAGATTTATTATATAGAATTACTTAAGAAAAATGTTTAAAATATTCACCGAAATATAAGTTAAAATTAATTCAATTATAATGAATTACATCTTAAATTTAAACGACATTCAATTAATTAGAATTATTAATATAAAATTATAAAAGATTTTCTTTCAAAATGATTCGTATTTCATGCAATTAAATTTAACAAATTGAAAGAGAATATATAGATGAAAATAAATACAATTAACACACGAAAAGTAATTATAATTAAGAAAATTAATCATAATTAATTTCACTGTTATCATTTAATTATTGATATATAGTTATGATTTTTATAAATAAGAATATGTTATATAATTTTCTTGAAATAATTAAGTTAAAGCGTATAATTAAAATAATTATCTCACATCTCGAGTTAAATTATTTTATAATTATACATTGCAAAAATGTTTCTTTGTTTTAATTATTGTTAATAAGCTTAAAAGAATAATTCTAAGATTGAGTGAGAATTTTAGGGTTTAAATTATATAACTAATCTTTTTTTCACGCGTTGATTATGTGATTTAGAAGTTTAATATTCGCTTATTCTACGTTGTCAAGAGATGATTGATTAAGCGAATTTATGTTCAATTTTCGTAATACAGCAAACTATCTTTTAATTAATAAATCTTAAGATAATTGTACAGAGAATAACCGAGAAAACTCCATTGTTTAAATTTTTATGCCTTGCTTCGTATATCGTTAACATCGACAATAAAATATTTACAGTTACTTCTACTCAATTTCGTTATTACGATAGGAAATGAGAAAATTTAGCATATTTATAGTAACTATAAAACACTAAAAAAGAGAAAAAATCTAAGTAAAAACAGTTGATAATTTATTTTAAAAATTTTAATAAAGCACATAAAAATGTTACTTAGTTATCGTGAAAAGTTTAGATACTGCTATAAATTTTTTTCATATCACTAAGCGATACTCTGTTAATAACTTATGTCATTATTAAAATTTTATTTGAAAAATATTCATTTTTTTTAAGCGCGGAATTTCTCACAAGTTTCAGCTTATTAATTTAATAAAGTATATATATTAAATAAGATTCACGTGGCTCGTAATGGAATATTTTGCTGTAAATTTATCGATTTTGGGCTTACAGCAATGGAATTTTATAAAGAACTAAAACTTAAATTGCTAATAAGTAATTTTAGTTGAAAAAAATAAGTCGTATTAAGTATGTATTTTTATAATATCATCCATTAATTTTAATGCATTAAAAATATTAACGTTTAGCATTATTGATGCCGCATGCCCCTTTTTTCCCGTTTCTTCCTTCCCCTCTGTATTTTTACGTTAGTATGGTAATACGTATAAAAACTTTGGAAGTAGAACCAACACAACAATCCTTTTACGTGCAAAATGTCCAGAGAAGATTACTTTGTGAATATTAAACTTGCCTAGAAAAGGCACCGAAGGCTTAGAACTGTAAGAGTTTCATTACACGCGTCTGTGCACTTGTCTGTCAAGTTCAGAGCGTAGTCGGCTGAACAGCGTGTACCGCAAACGCATCTAAAGAACCCTTTTAACAAAAGCAGACCCCGTTGTCCATAATTTATTCTACAGGCAGTTGCTATTCCCGGCAGAGTGTTCATAATAGTGTTGGTTGTTTCCAGTATCGTTACATTGTTTCACGCTACACCCTGGGTTGCTAAAAGCAAGGTCATGTCTCGACAAAAAAGAAATCAGAAAAACTTACAGTCCACTATTTGTATCTATTTTATCTGGATCATAAAACACTTTTCACTCGCCATGAAACGTTGACCAGCGGTGTAAAGTCAATTCGGGGCCTTCTAAAAAAGGAAAGGAGAGTTATGAGAATTCTTCACTTTAGAAAAAAGGAAAGAAAAAAAATAACATTTTATATTGAATGCATAGGAACAATATAAAAGTATTGCTTCGATTACTAGGGCACTGACCGCCTCCTCTGATTACCCCCGAGGTTGGAAAGTTATTCTGTAAACCAATTGGTTTTTTTTTTTTTTTTTTTTGTTTTTATCTTCGTCATCTCTGGAATGAAATGTCGCGGAGTTTTTCATTTTCTCTCTTTCATCATCATTGTTAAAAATATCCCATTTTTCTAAACTAGAAAACTAGCTAGAAAAATTAAATTGACTTTTAATTATCTCTTTCTAGTATAATTTGAAAACAATTGCTTTAAAATATTTTTCAGCAAGAAATCGATGTTTTCCCCATTAAAGTATTTCTTGATTTAGTATAGAAATTGTTCAAACACAAATTATTTAAAAAAATAAAATAAAATTTAGTTAAAAACTTATATACAACGATATCTTATTTTTTTTTCTTTTTGTGCGTGTGCTAAATTAATTAATTCTTTCATTTCTGTAGTCTTTCTGAGTTATATAATAAACAATTTGAGATGATTTAAGACTTACTGTTTTTATCCATAGATACAAAAAGTAAATCAAGACCTAGGATTACCGACTACAGACCTCAAATTACAGGGAAACAAGAAGAGAGCGTAGCACTACCTTGTGCAGCACAGGGATTTCCAATTCCTTCTATACGTTGGTACAGATTAGAAAATGGACAACTTCACATTATAACTCTTGGACGTCGATTTGTTCAATTAGACGGAACTTTGATTTTGCATCAAGCAACTGTAAAGGATTCTGGAAAATATGTTTGCGTTGCTAACAATAGCTTTGGAGAGGAACGAGAACATTCCCAACTTCTCATAACAAGTACGTAATACCTTTAAGAAAAATACACTCTTGTTTGTCTATCCTATTATAATACCTCGATGATTTGTTGGTTGTGCAAATTTACTTTGTAAAAGAAAAAGTTAAGCGATATCTTATTAAAGTACCGTCTTATATTCATTACTTATATATAAAAAATCTTTTTAAAGATCTTATTTTAAAGAAATATTTTAAATACTCATACGCTGTTTATTGATATCGATTGTGGTCGATTTAGTTTATATTTAACTGCTTTCAAATAGCTGTCTTACTCGCATTATTACTATAAATATATATTCTATAAATATATTCTATCCATTTATATTTACTCTATTGAAGATACAGTAGAAAAGAAAAAGTTATTAGACTCAAAGAGCTATGCATTATTCATCCCAATACATTATATTTCGATATCCGCTTTGTTGTATCCTTTTATATAGTTACTCCGATATGTTTCATGACAGTTTGCATGAAATTCACTTTAAAAAAAATCAAGTTATGCAGAATTTTTAGATATTTTCGTCCGTTCATCTTATTTTATTTTATTTTTTATTTTTCAAGTAAAATTTCGGCTTATTTTTCAAGGGATAATACATAAATGTAAATGTGACATTTTGTTACAATGTTCTATCAATTTAGTATTCTGACCTTATATATAAATACATTTTCTGTACTTATTATATAAAAAATTTGCAGAAAATATTTGAAAAAAAAACTAAAAAATTGTATTTTAAAATGTTTATGATATTTAAAATATTAATTATAATTATTTCGTTAAAACCTGTCAATTTTTCTTTTATAAAAAAATTAATTCTAAATTTATATGAATTACACATTTCAGAAAAATTTAATAACTTAATGATGAAAAGTATTATAATTTCTAATTAAAATTTTTAAACGATAATTAAATTTTATTAAACTAATTTTTTTTTAAATTAATAATTTCTTAAATAAAAATTATTAGACTGCTTGCCATAATCCTTATTTTTGCAATTTGTTTCGAAAAATAAATTAAATTTACAAGGAATATTTTACACGTTAATTAAAAATTTTATAAATATTCTACAAGTTATATTTTAAATAATGATAATTTTTCTTGTTAAGAGTTTTACTTAAACAATAATTTATTTTATTCTAGATGATAGAAACAAGAACAGAAATTTTTAACGAGCGACATTCTTATCTTTTATATAATTAAATGATTTATAAAGTAACAAATGATTTTTTTTAATGGTGGAAAGTTTTTATTCTCCAAGAAAATATTATTTCTTCTCTTGCACAGTAATTTCGTTAACAAATAAACAAAACTACAAATTTAACAGAACTGAAACAACGCGAAGAAAAGAATTTAAGAATATTTTATTCAAGTCATAGAAAGGGATAAAAATAAATATCATATTTTCAAATTTATATAAAGATTAATGTTGTTTTTTACATAAAATATGATTTTAAAACGTTAAAAATCTCTTCTACAGTTACATACTAGTATGCTATTATAGATTACTGATAACTTATATAAATGAGTTTTACTTAAGGTTATCCATGTGAAAATCTAAATTTTTTTTTGTTCGAAAACTTTCTCAGTTGAATTGACAACCTGCAGGTTTTTAGTGAAAAGATCATTTACGCTTCTTCTATTTTGCATTGAAACCATTTGTTAGAAAAGTCTATTTGACTGGTTTCAACTTCACCTGTCATTCAAGAAGAATCACTCTGGGAATTGTGTACTGTCTGTGAGATATTTTTTTTTGCCCATTATACTTTTAAAGTTAGCCTTCTATTGTATCATTCTTCAACCATTTTTTTAAATTTGCTAAAAATAATAACTTTTATACATATATTAATTAATTTATTAGAACTACTAATTTTACTTTAATATTACTAAATTACATTTCGATAAAATTGTCGAACATAAAAACGTGTGGAGATTTGTCTGAATAGTACGATAATAGCATAAATCTTATTAGTAAAAATTAAATTAATTACATTTAATACTTCCTAAATAAAATTAATTTAGCTTAATATTTAATGAAGGTATCTTAAATTTTCAGTATTCGTATCGTTATCTTAAATATAGATAAATGAATACGTTTTAATTTAAGTATAAAATAACATAAAGTCAAATTAATATAAATATACACTGTACAGTTTTATTTGATATTTAAAAATAATTCCACATATTACGAATTATTTACGAGCAATTTGTCAATAAATTGCAAAAAAAGGTCTAAAATAAGAACTTTTAATTGAATGTACTAAAATAACTTCAAAGATTGTGGCTGGAATAATGTTTCTTTCCTGTGTACTTGAGTTGATACTCTTTCCTCATTTATCAGATTCTCTGTCAGCAACCATATTACCAAGTTTACAACTAGCACACGTTGGAAAATCCGCAACAATCAACTGCAGTATATCTGGCCATCCAATCCACTCTGTACTTTGGCGAAAAGATCTAAATCCCTTGTCACTCAGCAGTAGAGTCATTTTGGTATCCAGGGACGTGTTAAAGTTGGAGAGCGTACAAAGAGAAGATAAAGGAATGTATCAATGCTTCGTCTATAACGACTTGGAATCTGCCCAAGGAACGACAGAACTTAACCTTGGAGGTACGAAACATCAATATTAAAGAAATATTGTTACGAAATGTGATATTTTATTAGAAAATAAGCTTCAGATGTATAAATTTATTTTTTCTTTATTTTTAAATTTTTTAAAACAGTCCACTAAAATGCAAACATGTCCACATAAAATGTTTAAGTACTAGTATAAATATTACATAAAAAGTGTGTATAGGCCTATAGAAAATAATTTTGTTCAGTTCTTAAATCAAAAATTATATATCGAATAGTTCAGGAAAAAAAACAATCATTCCAATGGAAGTGATAGTAACTACAAAAGGTTACCATTTCGTTGAGTGAGTTGTTACTAAAGCTATATATTTTTTTATACATCTTACAATATGTAGCATCATCATCTTTCTCCTTTTAGATGAATGATGTTGTCATCTCAAATATCTTGAATTCGAAAGATTTATATAAATCATCCACAAAAATTGATCTTTTCTCATCTTACCATGTTTTTTTATGAAATAGTAAACTAAAGCTTACAAGAAAAAAATTTGTAAACAACTTTTACATTATCGTACATTTCTTTCATAAACTGCAAACATCGCTAACAAAATAAGTACGCTTAAAGAATCTAGCAAGAATTTTACACGCATTTATTTTCTTTTTAATATTGATAATTTAATATATGTTTTATATATAAAATAAGTTTAAACTTGATTTTAAAATCATTTATAGACGATACTCCAGAATTTCAAGAAGTATTCCCTCCCCAAACGATTCAACCAGGTCCATCTCTATCTCTCAAGTGTGTAGCCACAGGGAATCCACTTCCCCAAATTATTTGGAAATTGGATGATTCTTCCATCCCAGAAAATCATAGAATTAGATATGGCGATTACGTTACCAAAGATGGTGCAGTAGTTAGTTATGTTAATATTACCAGCGTACAAACAGAAGATGGGGGAGAATATCAGTGTACTGCTAATAATGGAGTTGGAGAAGTCAGTCATAAATCAAGAGTAAACGTATTAGGCCCTCCAGTTGTTAGAAGAATGAGAAATCTAACAGTAGTAGCTGGAGAATCGTTGAATGTAAGATGTCCTGTAGGTGGATATCCATTAGAAACCATTCATTGGGAAAGAGGTTAGTTATATGCTTTCATTACTGTAAATAATTTTAGTCTCTTCAAAGAACCTCGAGTGGTTTCGTGAATAAGTTGAATTGCAATCATCTTTCTTTTTTTTCTTGATAATACGTTAAAAAGCTACTAAAAATTCTGACATTATCGATTTAAAAGTTAATAGTTTTGCGCTGTTTTTAAAATATATATACGTGTTAAATGTGAAAGAAGAAAAGATTAAAAATTAATCTACATGGAAGGAAAAAGTTCATTTATATAAATTGAAAATTTAAGCAACCGATCTCTATTTTCTACAAAGATAACTTTATTAAAATTAACGAAATTAAGATAAATTGTAATTTTACGGATTACGATCTTTCATTTTTTTAAAATTAATAATACTTAACGAAACATAAGCAGAATAAAAAAAAATTACTTTTCTTCGAAAGGATATTAAAATCAAGATTAATTAAGAAGAAAATCAAAACAAAATTCTCGATATTTTTATTTTAAAGATGCGTTATTAAAATTACTTTATAATTAAATTTAATTTCCATATAACGATGAAAATTTGAGAACATAAAACTTATAAAAATATTAAATCTTATAGGATTATATACGTATTTTAATTTGTGAAAATAATGAATTTAAAATATAATTTAAGATTTGTAGTGTTTTCTGTTTCTTTCTAATTGTTATTTTTCTTTATAACAGCTGGAGTAAGATTACCTTACAATCACAGACAAAAGGTACACGACAACGGTACTCTAGAAGTACATCACGTTGAAAGAGCCACAGATGAAGGACCTTATACGTGTGTGGCAAGAAATCGAGAAGGTCAAAGCGCACAGAGTACAGTTCTAGTCAGAGTACAAGGTACAGAATAAATATTTCATAAAGTTTTTCTCTATTTTACACAGCAAAAAAAAAAAAAGAAAAAAGAAACTACATATACCTTTTCCTTTATATATATAAATTATGTTTACGTCAAATTCAAAAATTTATGATAGATTTTCTACTTTTAACGAAAAATCGTTGCATTAAAAAAATTAAAAAATAAATAAACTAATAAATATGTATATTTAATAGTTAAAAGATTATATTTATAAAATTAAAAACTTTTTCATTTTATTAATTTAAAAACATTCTGAATGAAAGATATATAATAATATTCTTTGAAATTTTTTAAAGTAAATATATCATATTTTAGATTATTTAAAAAAAATCTATTTTAAATGGTTTGTTTATGCATTTATATATTAAAAAGTTTAATGTTTATTTAGAATAAAATTTCTCGTAAGACTTCTTCTATTAAAAAATTTAATTTTTTAAGATACATTTTTATGGAATAAATTTAAAATTGATTAATACTAATTTATAAAAAATATATCTAAATACCAAAAATAATTACATATAAACATTCAAATGAAAGTAATTACTTTAAAATAATTTTAGCAAAAAAAATTATATTTTAAATATCTCATTTAATGTATTTTTACAATAAAAAATTTAATTAGAAAAAGTTTACGTTAAGAATTTGAATATTTTTATTAAAATATATTTCATTTTATAAAATACATTTTTAGCAAAAATTCTGATCTAGAAAAAAAATCTATTTTTTTTACTAAGAAAAAAACTTCGAGATTAAATCCTTTTAGTTTATTAAAAAAATTCTCGAGCAATAACTTTAGCGTAAATTTTTAAAAACCCGAGAAACTTGTTAATGGAAAGAGAATACTTACTGTATATCAGTAACGAAATCTACAGTCAGACAAGAAATTCACGTACTTATATCAGTAAAGGAATGATGTGTATCGAAAAGTGGTAACATGTGGTGCAGATATGGCATTCTTTTTGTACCATTCTCGAATTTTGACTTACATAAGTAAATCAATATATTTTTCCCCCATTTGTTATTACATATGAACAAAGGTAGAAACATCGCAAATAATCATTTCTTATCTATGAGTTAGCTATTATATGATTTTTTTTCATAACTTCCTGGCTATTTATGTGATATCCAGATATGGAACTAGTCGGATATAGAGTCTATATACATGAAAATATTTTTACTATGAGAATAAATGTAGTAAAACACATTTAGACATTACTCGACTACATATTGGAGATTTAATGATATCGAACGTCTAGGAGATAAGCAGAATAAATCCATGTTTCAGGAAAGGGATTTAGGATACTCTAGGGTGATATTATTGACTAAGTCGCTTGACAAATTGGATTTTATCAACGTATATTTTTATTTATTTACGTTTTACGTCGAGTAATTAGTTTTCAATAGCAAAAAAATTCTCTCTGAAAGAAGGATGATAATCTTGAAAATCAACCAAAATTGTTTTATAATAAAAGAAAAAATGAACAATTTATGTTAATTTTAGTAAGTTACTAGATATTAAAGTGGTAATTTGTAAATAAAGCGAGAGTAATTTTCGTATATAGCGACTAACAATAGATCTCAAGCGGAACGGAATTTTACATGAAGCTACTCTTGAATATTTGAAGCTGACAACAAGTTCTATTCGTTAATTAAAACAAAGCTGTTTACAGCTTTAATTAGTATTAGATAATTGTTTTCAATTTATATCCTTACTCATGATAGTATAATACATAGAAATTAAGCATTAGAGTGTAACAAATTGGTTTCAAACGTATTAAATTGCAATATTTACTTTGCTTTTATTTGTAATTTAATGTAAACACGATGTTCAATTTTTACTTATTTGCGATAAAAATTTATCGAATAAAATTTACTCATTTATCCATCTTGTGTATATAATTAATGGGATTTTAATGTAATTTTTCTGTTTATTTTCTAGTAAAACCCGTCATCGAGCAATTTTCCTTTCAGAAATCCTTAAAGGAAGGAGAAAGATCTTCCGTTTCGTGTACAGTTGGGAGTGGAGATTTACCCATCAAGATACGCTGGTTTAAAGATGGACAACCAATTCCCGATCACAAAGGGATTAGAGTCAATGAAGTGGCTGATTACTCTTCAACACTTTTATTTGAATCTCTAGGATTAGATCACAGAGGAAATTATACTTGTATTGCCAGTAACGAAGCCGGCACTGTCAGTCATACTGCTTCAATGGTAATTCATGGTATGGTTTGGTCCTATGAGTGTAGGGTATATATTTTGAATCTATTTTGTGAAATTTTATTAATTATAATTATAGTTGTAAGCTATTAAGATTAATTACCTTTCAATTAAGCTAAACTGTCAATCATTAATAATCCAGTCTTATTAACGTGCTAATAATTATTATTCTATCGATCGAATTCGGTAAATGTACCAGAAAAACTAATGCTTACAGTACTTGATTTTATACGATCTTAACTTAACTCGTGAATTAATAAATATCTCTAAAATGATGTAATACGTGCCATCAAAGATAACAAAAAGATGATGAAGAGAGAGTTTTACTACCAAATCTCATAAAGCTTCAATGTCTGTTGTAAATTTCAAGATATTGAATTGGACAATGACAAAATGGTACCAAAGATAAGGCAATGTACAACCTCATAAAAGACCAGAATGTAAGAAATCGAGTTGGAAATGCGATCGTAAAGATTCAAATAATACTTTTTTTCAATCATACAAAGTTTTTCTTTTATTTAAACAAAAACTACAAAACAGAGAACATATATAAAATTTTCTCTTTAAAAATACTCAATATAAACTTAGAATTACACCAGTTCACGAAAAAAGATAAGAAGACATAGCGAAATCATAAAATGTTAAATTAGTAAAGAAGACTATAAAAAAAAGAAGAGAAAATGTGTGTGTGGTTTGTTTACAGAAAGAAATGTAAATAAATTTATAAAAATCTTCCATATATAGTATATATATATATATATATTTAATTTAAGATGAATTTTTCTCTTGTTTTTCTTTCAATTTTTATGCTTAGATTAATTTGGTATTGTTTAAGAAAAAATGAAGAAAAAATGGTGGATTTTCGCTTTGTGGATAAGAAAAATGTTCGGATATTGAATCAAGTATTACATTGTTCGTTCCAGTTCCACCACGTTGGGTTATTGAACCATCCGATGCGTCCGTTGTGAAAGGTAAAAGCGTCGTGATCGACTGCCAAGCTGAAGGATTTCCACAGCCAAGAGTACGATGGACGAAAGCAGATGGTAGTTACGAAAATTAAATATTTTATCACCAATTAATATAAGATAATTAAATAATAAATTAAATATTAATCATCGTTTAGAATAAAATATTTAACCGAAATTAAACATATCTATGCTAATATATGGAATAATATAGATTTATTTCTTTATGATAACTACACGATCATATCGATTTAATAACTGAATCTCATAAATAATATTGGCTTAAAGCCAAGATATTTGGCTTTTATCCAACTTTGATCAATGTTTCCCTCCTTAGAAATACCAATATAATAAAATTCTGGCTAAAATTGCTGAATTGTCCAATAATAAAAAGGAAAAAAATATATAAAAAACAATGGTTGAATACATTTTACTTTATAGGGTTGTTGAACTTTGAAACCATTTCGTTTTTAAAAAAAAATAAGAATTATAATTTAAATTATTTTGTTTATTTAAATGGAAACAAAGAAAGGAAATTGTTCTTATTTTTTGATAAATACGCTCCATTAAACTCATGGTTATTAAGTCAAATTATCAAAATTTTTTCTATTATTTTATTAATTAAAAGACGTTTAAATTATTTAAAAAATTAAAATGCATATTAAAATGATATTTTAAATTAATTTTTTAAGGCAATAAATAATTTTAATTGTTCATTGCATCGCAATTATTCATAAAACTTCTTTCAAAATGATTTTTTGAAAAGAAAAATAAATAATTTATTTAATGTTGTATAATTAAAATTACCCTTGCATACCAATTAAATTCATCATTTAATAATAACACAATTTAAAATTATTATAGCAATATAATGTAATTATAAGCATAGTTAAATTCTTGATTGTGTTCAGTTTAGTTTTATTTAATTACCAGTTTTAAATTGTTCACTTTTATAAAAATTCAATTAAATTGATTACTCAATATATGAAAATTATTCTTAAATGCATCATAACTTAAAGTAATTAAATGATCGAAATGAAAATCATCATTAATGCCATTATTTATCTGAATGCCATTAAAATATAACTAAATATTTAAACACGATCAACTTAAAATTATATTTACAGCTAAACAAAATTCATGATGAATTATTATTATTATTATTATTATAACTTGAAATTATTTCAGTAAAATGTAATTAAAAATCTTTCATTTAAATTCGAATGCAATTAAAATTGTCATTATTTGTAACAATTAAAATTATTATTAATCTAAAGATAATTAAAATTAATTAAGGACCAAGATAACATAGCTTAAAATTACTACATCATCATTAGTCTGAATTTTATAAATTGAAAGAATGTTTTTACTTGGAGGCATTTTCTTTTTCAATATTAAAAACTTTGTAATAAAAATACAATTTGAAGTTTTTTTGATGTGTGTTTTTAGGAGATTCACCAAGAGATTTCAAATCCATCGTCAGTAGTCCTCATCTCCAAGTTTTCGAGAATGGATCTCTTGCTATCCACGATGTCAAAGAAATAGATTCTGGTTATTATTTGTGCCAGGCTTCTAACGGCATAAGTCATGGATTGAGCAAAGTCTTGAAACTAAAAGTGCACAGTAAGAAAACAATTTTCTAATATTTTACGGTCGCTAACAGCCAAACTTTCGTACTATTTTTATTTAACTTGCATAACTCTTAACTATTACTAAGTGAAATTGGTTGGATGAATATGTATAAAATGGAAACTCGCAATTTCTTACGGTCCACGATCCTTTTACCTAGCAATTTTGGAAGTTTATTTTGTTTTTTTTTCCTATTGCTAAAATAATTTTATACTTTGTCTAAACGGAGCAAAATTCTCCATTTATGATTATTGTGAAAGTATTTTTTCATATTTTTTATTTTATTTTACGAGTTTTAAGGGTGAGAATCAATAAAGAATCGATGAGAAGATAACGTATTTATCAATACATTGTTTTATTATTATTTAAAAATAGAAAATTAAGTATTAAAATAAGCGAATTTTATTAAATTTTATGCTTAAATTATTATTATTATTCTTTATCCATAAAAGAATAACTGATGAATAATTTATTTTCTTTATATTCAATTATACTTTTTACCTATGTTTCAATGTTGGATAACTAGAAATATATTAACTATATTANATTATAATTGTTACTTTTAATATATTTTAAACTTCGTTTTTAGATACGAATTATTAGAAACTATCGTGGCAACTGGCGTTACATCAGAAGTATTGATTCGTCAAGCTGACAGAAGAGATTCCGCTCTCTTTACATGCATTGCTACAAACTCATTTGGTCGAGATGATACCAACATTCAACTGATAATACAAGGTACAATATGGATTTAGTTTGATATTTACTATAATTATGTAGCCATTTTCAATGATTAAATTGTACGAATAGATTTCATTATTGTATAAACTTATAATCTGTACGTACTGGTACATGTTAATTTTTATTGTTAAAAATTTAAATAAGATAATTAATAACAAGGAGATAAGCCAATTACCGTCACGTGGATGAAAGATAAATTACCTATTAACCCTCAAGCTGATACCAGGTAAGAATTTATTATATATACATATCTACTGTTTCTAGAAATAAGAATATACGTTAGAAAATCAAAATCGAATTTAGTTTCATATAGCTTGCCTATCGTTAACGTTGTTTCCATTAATCATCTTCTAGTCAATTGAAAGATAATTAGAGCCTTTAGTGAATTCGTTAGATAAATATAATCATTTAATATTATTAAAAACATACTATTTTATTAACTTCTACTGTTTAATGATATTTTTAATGATTATATTTACAATTTAATTGTCATTAATTGAGTTAAATAGGAAGCAATTTCAATTGTTTGCGAACTACAAATCGATCTGTGCAGAAATTTTTCAATACAACGGTAAATATGTACCATTTAATAATAAAATTTCTTCAAATTCTCTTCTAGATTAAGGATGTAAGAAATGTAAGAGAGTTATCAGTATTCATAAAGCTGAAAATGGAAAAAAATGTAAATAAAAGAAACGAAATATCAAATATGCAGTTCTGACTACAGGAAGGGCATATGTGAAAATTCAACAAATTGAATGTACACAACACCTGTGGCTAAAAAAGAATCAAGAGATTTAAAAAGAAAAAGAGAGAATTTGGAGAAGTTGTGAGCGCAGGGAAAAATCTCATTGCCAATAACAGAAAATCAAAAAAGGAATGTTTACATCTTCAGGCTAAGAAAATGAAATTGACCTCTACTCTGAAAGATTTCCGTCAGAGAAAATAAGTGATATTATAAAAGTTCCTCCTTTTTTATTTAAGAGTTTTCTGAAGAACCGACTGCCGTAATGTCTTATGCGGTTTCTTTATTCTTCTTCTTTACTTTATTTTTTTTTAACTCGGAACTTTTATGATATAACCCAGTAAACGGAAATGGTACAATTGTTTACAGGAAACTAGCTTAATGTTTGCTCCGAGTTTCTTATTTCACATAATAAAGTTTCAAATGAAGAAAAATCATTACACCAGAGAACAACCGACTCATCACTCACTGATGGAAAATGGCAAAAGGGAGTCAATCTAATAACCCAGCACACACACTACAGATGCTATTAGAAAGTATTGCTATTTCATTACATTTTTCTCAATATAATCTATCATTGACTTAGAAAATAAAATATTGTAAATTTATAATTTTTTTTCTAAATTGCAAAATAATATATTACTTTCTTCCGAAATTAAAAATGAAGTCTTACACTTTAATTACAATTTATAATATCCTGAAGATTAAATTACTTTTTGTAAAATTCTCATTTAAAAGAATTATTGATATTATTTTTAAAGTTTCAAAGGAACATTGTTCTGAAGTTTCTTACTAATAAAACATTACAGGCAATAATGAATTAATATATTCATTGTTATCAAATAACTTTTTTTATTATAAGTGTCATATTTATCTTTAGGCAATGTCATTATTATGTAAGGTCCTAAGAAATCCATTTTGCCGATGTTGTCTTTATGAACAGCGTAATAAATGCATTAAGTCATGCCAAATTTAGAAAAGGATGAATGATTACTACGTATCTATCCCGTGTTGATGAATTGCATTCTGACTTAGCTTCGTGACAATAGAGAATTCAATAGAATATCTTTTTTTTTCTTATTATCTTTGCTGTTAAAACTGCGTAAATGGGTTAGAAACTATTAATTTTTGAAATTTCATTTTATTCTGTTAGAATTAGTTCATGCATTTGAAATTTCATAACATTCGTTTCATTCGTAACAGAATACAGTACGATCGATATTTTCAAATCTGTTAGAAACTAACAATACTCCATGAATTCGGAGTATTCATGGTTGGTTTATACGAATCTTTTCGCTTCTCTGGACGAATTTAGATCGATAATGTCATAAAAATGCCTTATCGAGTTCAAACTTTACGCTGATGAAATTTTATTACAAACCTTTTTCATGTGCAAATGTATAAAAACTTGTTTTAAGAATATATAAATAAGGAATTTATCAGATTGTCTACTCGAATATCATTGACTATCGAAGCAAATACGATCAATAGCATCGAAATGATGACTAATACGTAAAAACGGGAGCTATTGAAGATAAAATAAAACGAAAGTAATGATAAAAATGTATAATATTCCTTCCTTATGAACGTAGAATTAAGTAGACATTAATTTTGTATGGAAAAAATAGTATATTTTATGTACACAGAACTATTAATGACTAAGAACTAAAGCAGGACATCGATCGAAGTGACATTATAGTATTTGCAGAGGCGTTAGTCTTCTCATTGAGCATAACTAATCTAAAAGTCTAGTGCCAAGTTTCTCTGCCAAAAATATAATGCTTGATTCTGTATATAATATTTTTATTTAACGAATCAATAGCTGTATTTTTCGACATATATTTATATAAATTACTTTTACTATTTTTATTATTTACGTGTTTTTTTTTCTTTTAATGTTGAAAAAGTTTTCTTACTTTAAGACGAATTTCTTTCTGTTAAATTTATGTTAAAATATTTTATAAATGAAACATTTGTTAAAATTAATCAATTCTGAATTATCATTGACATTGAGGGATGAAAAAACTTCAAAAAACAAGAATATGTCAGAAAATCCAGATGGAAAATTTCTGATATAAAATTGATGAAAAGCAACACGGAGTAACATGAATAGCATCATCCCACTAAATGAAATTTATTTATAATCTTTAAAAATATTTAAAGTATTAAAATAATATATTTAAATAAAGTTTAAAATGCACGTTTGTTTTTTATATTTATAATAAACTTTTTTTAATGTTTAATTTTAAATTTAAACATTAAAAACTTAAATTTTTAATTCCTTGTTTTTCTTAAACACAAAAAAATAAATTTAAATCTATCCTTTTTTTTTAAAAACTGTTACCACATTTCTATCTTTTAATACGTTATCAAGAATTATACTTAATGTGTTGAACGATTTTTTTCTAAGTAATTCTTCTTTTCTTATATTAAAAGGGGATTAAATCTATATTTTGCAAGAGATTTTATTTCGTTATCCCTTGCCAATTTTATGTATGTAATGTAACAAACAGGAAAATAAACGTTAATCCAAACGCAAATAAAAGATGTAATCCTATTTTAGTGTAAATGTTCTCATATCAATCATCATTTTTTTTCTTTAAAACGATAAACTAAGATAATAAAACATAGATTAATGAAGACTTACAACTACAATCTGCCTTCATTGTATGCGTATGGAATAAAATAAATGAAAATTTATTTGTTGTAATTCTACTTTATTTTTTGCCTTTTTTTGAGATTATAATTGTTATTTTTAATATATTTTAAACTTCGTTTTTAGATACGAATTATTAGAAACTATCGTGGCAACTGGCGTTACATCAGAAGTATTGATTCGTCAAGCTGACAGAAGAGATTCCGCTCTCTTTACATGCATTGCTACAAACTCATTTGGTCGAGATGATACCAACATTCAACTGATAATACAAGGTACAATATGGATTTAGTTTGATATTTACTATAATTATGTAGCCATTTTCAATGATTAAATTGTACGAATAGATTTCATTATTGTATAAACTTATAATCTGTACGTACTGGTACATGTTAATTTTTATTGTTAAAAATTTAAATAAGATAATTAATAACAAACAATGTATTATTATTATTACGTTATGATTACTTATTAAATAGTTTCCTTGTTTATACATTATAATAAAGCGAAGACTTTAAATAATATAATATATTAAACAATCAAACTTAATTTATAACAGATAAATTACATTTAAAATGTATTTATATTTAAATTCTATTCGAAATAATTGTTATGAGTTTTAGAAAATATAAAGAAAATTTCGATTAATTATTAAGTTGATAAAATTAATTTATTTTTCCTTAAATATTATAGCATTTGAGATAAATATTTTACATCTTTTATCAAATATTTGAACTACTTCGAATAGTCGGTTAATATTATAAATTACATAAATTTTAAAGTTATATGCAACTCTAAAAATAATTATCTTCTAGAATCTGTAATGTAGCTAAGTATCGTCATAAGGAGGCATGGGGAAAGGGTTTGCATATAAAATTACCTTTGTAGATAAATTAAATAAGAGTTATGCACACGTAAAGAACGTTTGGTTTATATCTCGTTATTTAACTATCAAAATATCATCCGAATAATTAATTATTGAGTATTTATTTTAAATTATTTGTTAAGTTAAAGGATATGCCTCTCTCCTGAATACGTCTATGCCTGCAATTACAATAATAATCTGTTTAAATATTAATTATATTATAACTAATTAAAAATTTCATTAAAGAGATAAAACACACGAGTGATATATAATATTTATTTCTTGAAAAACAAATGAATTTTTAATAATTTCTTTTTAGATAAATTTATAATTTATGTTTCATTGTCCACGTATTTCAACTGAAATTTTACTTCGTATATATCCTTTATATATATTAAATGTATAAATATTATATATGTGTGTGTGTGTGTGTTTTCCAGCCTGATATTTAAGTCACTTGAAAATTCTACACTTACGTGATTTTCTTATTGCGCTTGTACTTATTTTTGCTTTTAAAATGTAATATAATATTAAAAGAATGTATACATTACTTAAATATATACATAGTATGATGTATATATTTATTTTTTATTTTTTTATTTCTTAATTTAAGGAAAGAAAATCTTTATGTTAAAAATTATTTAAAGTACTTTCCTTAATTTATTTTTCTTTAATCAAAATTGAATTTCGTTTCCTACGAGAAATAATTTCTTTCGTTAAGATAAATAAAATGTATAATTTAGAAAAGAATAATATTTTACTTAACGGTTTAATGAAAAATGTATAAAACGTTGCATAATTATATAAGAAAGTAATATTTAATGATAACGTATGTATTCTTCATTACTTAGACTTTTATACAGGGATTATTTTCGGGGAAAAATTTTTACGAGTCACTTAGATTTTATAAATACGTGTGCCGGGCTGTGAACGGCTCAAGTATTTATAAAATCTAAGTGACTCGTACAGCATGGAATTCATATAAAACGGAATAATCAACAGTATTATAGGAGGGTCGACTGTACTCCCCTAAATAGCGATACTTCTTGTATGGATTTTTACCATAAATATTAAATACGGAAGTATGTATGTATGAAATACTAAATGTACTATTTTGAATTGCAAAAAGTATTTTTATCCCACATTATTATTATCAAAATCGCGTGAATTTCAAATTCTCTTGTGTATAGACTTTATTATTATATATAATTCTTATTCCAAGCATACCTTTTTCCGTAGATAATCACCATAGTAATGTGTGCAACATTTTCATCATCATGGAATTTTTTAGTCATATTTATACATATTTTCAATGTTATTATCAAAATATAATTCTTATTGTTTGAGATATCTCAATTTAGCGATATATTCGATTTAATGCCAATAAAAAATGGCGCTAACCGAAGTTTGACTGTAATTAGAAGAAAATACGGTTTTTTATTATTATTTTTTACTCATTATTCAATCCTTTGACGTATTCAAAATGTAATTTAACCAATAGAAATGATAAAATAAACAGGAAATTACTTTAAAAATGCCATTCCATACGGAATAAACGACAAAGAATATCTCGAATTTAAACACACAAAGCCTAATTTCCTCAATAAACGAGGGGAAAATGTGTCCTAAATTGGAAGTAATACAGTATTTTAAACATCTACATAGTTAAAATCTATTTTAAAATCTTAATGTATAGAAAAGAATAAAGAAAAATGATCAGAAAGGAGTATACAATCTCATACTTTCCGCATGTTTTTATGATTTATATTTATCGACTGTCAATTTTTGGTGTATTTTTCATCATAATGTCTTTATAGAGAATAAGTCTCAATACAATGAGTTGAATGGATAAAAAAAACTTTAGTAATACCTTTCTATGATCGCTTTAAGGATAGAAATATATTCTTATATTTTTCGTTTTGCAATATTCGACTGATCGGAAAAGAAGGATGCGTATATATAGTGGAAAATAGAGATGAAAATCGGATTGTAGTAAGAGGAAAGAATAGATAAGAAGATAAAAATATATATATAATAAAAGTAAATTTATAAGATGTTCTATGCTATAGAAAATTATATTCTTATTCTTATTATTTTTATCTGATTCTATTCAACAGAAAGCTTTATGCTTGTTTTCAAGTAACGCTTGTTTACTTTAAGAAGAAAGTTTTAAAAATGTATTAGAAAAACTTGTGCCTTGAATTAATTCTTAATTTACATAGTTTCGTTTACTTGATCTCTCGTTAATTTTAATAAATAATAAGATTTTATGCAAATATTTTATTAAGAACGTAATAAATATCTTTTCAACTGTAAAATAATAAATTGAGAGGTCAAATCCAAAAATTTCTGCTAATTAATCTATTTATTTATTAACGTTAATAAATATTTTAAGTTTAATAAATTTATAAATACCTTATCTATTCTATATAATTGTTTTAGATGTAATAAATCCTGGCGTTTTTAAATGCAAAATCAATAAATTACTTTGTATAAAGTTATCTTAATTTATTTTTGAATTCATTTTTATTTAATAAATTTTCTTCTTGTTGCCTTAATGTTCAATATATATTTAAAATTTATGCTTTGAACATTAGAATCTCCAGATAGTCCTCAAGACTTCAAAGTATTGGAAACATCAAGCCGAAGCGTTAAATTAACTTGGACAGCTCCATTCAGTGGAAATAGCCCTATAACTCACTACATTATCCAATATAAGGACGATACAGGTATGTAAGAGCAAATTAAAACACCGTAAGACATCAACAGGAAATAAATTGTTAATCTTTCCAACAAACAAAGTTAATTTACTCATTTTTATGTATAAGATGGAATAGGAAAACATATTTGCAAAGTAAATCATTTTAATTTATAATTAACAAATATATTTAAATATATTTTAGCGAATAAATTATATTCTTTTTGATTTTTGAATTAAGCAAATTGTTTTGAATTAATTATATATATTTTTTAATCAATATATCGATCCGTATCTTTAGACAGTTTGTATAAGAATTTAAATAAGGTTTCTAATAAGTAAATTTGATATTTTAGGCATGAACGTAATTATCATTAATATATAACGCATATTTTAAAGATATATTCATTGGGTATTCTTGCAACTTGAATAAATCTATCTCTCGATCGTGCGATCCTGCATACGTAAATATAAATCATTTTATCGAATAACAAGTTCCCAATTTGTGCCGTGTACGCTATTAAAGATATAATTTTGACAGTTATAGTGTAACTATAACGAATTACACTTTAATGACATCTATTACAAGTCCAGTTAACCTGCGTTTCGACCACGTAACTTTGTATTAGTAAAGGTAAGTCACGATATCCACTCGCTTTACAGAAAAATAACCCAAAATTAGTCCATGTTTACGTCGATTTCCCTTCCATATTCTTTTTAACACTATCAAAATTATATCTTTAATAATGTTTTAAAGATATTTATTCAGATATTCTATTGCAAATCTGTGAGTCTATTTCTCGATTACGTGATTACATCAATTAATATTATAGAAAATTTCTAACCTCACTTTTTCTCAATTAACTAATTAATTAATGCTTCTACTCCTTTGTTATATTATCAATGTTAATCTATTAATACGGCTTATTATACTGATTTAATAATTTGTGGATGAAATTAGAGATTGACTTAGTCTCTTGGTTCAACAGAATAAACTTTTATTTGCACTTATATACAATATTTACATTTATTTTGAACCTTTTCGCCTCTTATTAGTAAGTGTTTATCAGTTATATTTCTGAAATACAAAGATTTTTAATGATATAACTGATAAAAACACCTTCTGATGAGGGACGAAAAGGTCCGAAATACATGAAAATATTGTATACAGATGCAAATAAAAGTTACCAGCCGCATGTTAAATCAGTATAGTAAGTCCTATTAATTTTTTTTTTTTTCAATCAAATATATTTATTCATAATAAGGAGTCCTTGTTACTCATAATAAGTAAGTCCTATTAATAGATTATAGCGACAATAGACTATGTTTTTTCTTCATTTGTCTACATACCCTCTATTAAAAAATATAATTTGACAGCATTATAATAATACTTAACTTGAGGGATACGAACTCAATCCAAATGCATTTATCATACTGGAAACTTCTAAATATACAAGATAAAAGAAGTTATTCCTGTAATCTTACTTTATCTTAGGATTGTCTAAAGTTTCATTAAAGCATACACTGTACTGTACTGTACATCTGTTGTTTGAGAAAAGCATAAGTGCTTTTAATCTTTACATCGTCTATACTTAAGTACAGAGCTTAGATTAAGTAGAGAAAAGGAATAAAAATAAAGAAAAAAAATGGCCAAAAATATTTATTGTTAATTACTTTTCGGTAAAAACGTCAGAATTTTCTTCAGACGTCATTTATTTTACTCTTCTATCAATATATTTTTCGGAATTTTAACTTTTCGGCAGATAAATTTTTGTTAATTAATAATGAAAAATTAAACTTTTCTCAATTTAGATATAAATTTTCCTAGGAAGCATCTGCATAATTGATGGCTTTCACGCGCATATTTTCACGTGCTAGAAAATAAACACAAAGTTATCAATTATTGTAGCAGTTTAATCATTTATAACGTTGCCGAGACACAAAGTATGTATGTACTGATTATAGAATACAATTTAGAGAGGAGGAATGCAATTTAATAGTGATTACTACATTGGAATTTACCACATCAGGTGAATTCAATGGAAAACAATGGAAAGTTTACACTTAATTTGCTTCACTTATTTTTTTTCACTTCACTAATAAAGAATTATTAATAACAACAAAAACATAATATTAACTAAATTTATTCTTTAATCATTCTAAAATTTATTAAATAAAATAAGAAATAATAATAATTTAATTCGGACGTTACTCCTTGAATGATTTTTTTTCCTCCATTTTATCAATTCTTATCGATTTAATACTTAAAATTATATTTTTTATCGATGATATTTTATAAAAATGGAAAATATTCTATTTATTATCGATTTTCTATAATCATATTCCTCAAGTTCAGCCATAGGCAGAGTCAATGGGAAGATGAGGAAGTGTGTAGCCTGGATCGGAATCTGTATAATAATTATGTAATTTATGTAATTTCAAATGCATGAAGAAAGAAAAAAAAGAAATTTAATATAGAGAGAGCGTAACGTTAGAAGGTAAAAGAGTGACTCGAAAGGCCCTAGCTTCCAACGGCCATTACAGCCCTACTTATAGACGTTGAAAGCTAGGGACATCCAAACTATACGCTTCTAGAATGGAAAAAAAAAATAGAAGTAGTGAATAGAAAAAAGAATTTATATTTTCCTATGTAGCAGCCAACTGTCATCTATTGATTTTTAGTTTCGTCCTTCTTTATAGAGAGCGTAAAGTTCTTCTACTAGATTATTAATATAGTAGTACAATATCAGTAAAAGTGCATTAACATACAAACAGACTTACTGTGTTCTTTTATAATGTAGTAAAATTTATGTTAAAATATGCAAATTCTTATTAAAATATTCCAACTCTTTCAGAATGTCGAAAATCTTTTTTTTTTAAAGGTTTTATTTTCATTCTTTAAAATTTTAATTAACTTAACAATCGCATCATTTAGGAAAATGGCATGGAAAAATGCCAAATGTGACCGTTTCCGGGACCGAAAGTACTGCAACTGTTCAAGGTTTAAAACCGGCAAAGATCTATTATTTTCGAATGTTTGCCGAAAATAGACTTGGAAAAAGCGATACAAGTCGGATTATAGAAACTCGGACTCAAGAGGAGAGTGAGTAAACAATGGATTTATGCGAATATTTTTACATACATTTTCAAAATTCTATTCCTCTAAAATACGTTATGAAAAAATAATGCTTTAGTCATTAATATTTATTCTAAATCTAGAAGGAAAAAAAAAGTTTCTAAATCATAAATTTTTGAAGTTAAAAGCATAAAATTTTAGATCTTTTTTTCTTTTGTTTTTGTATATTCTTTAAGCACCGGGTGGTCCACCAGTCAAGGTCAAAGCCATTCCTACAAGTTCACAATCTATAAAAGTTACTTGGAAAGTATGTTTTCGCGCAATTTAGTATACACGCGTGTAAAAGTTTACAAGCATTATGGATGCAATTACAAGAGACATAGAACTAATTGAAGTTTATTTACAGCCTCCTTCACAGGAATTACAATACGGGACAATTAAAGGATATTACGTTGGTTATAAGATTCGAGGTTCTCCAGAGCCTTTTGTTTACAAAACTATGGATGTTGTTGAAGGTTTCAAAGAAGAGAGTCACTTAACTGGATTAAGACGTTTTACTAAATATTCTATAATAGTACAAGCTTACAACAATAAAGGAACTGGCCCACCGTCTGACGAAGAATACGTTCAAACTTTAGAAAATGGTAATTTTCTGCTGATTTTTATTAAGAAGTAATATTTTTAGTTCAAGAGTTTGCGTGTGGTGAATTTTTATAATGCTCTTAATATATTTATCAATAAATCAATATCAAAGTTTACATTTAAGGAATTTTTTTCCTATTGAGTTCTTAAATATATTAGTCATGTACTGATGAATATTTAAGATATTTTTATATGTTAATTTTATTTTTATTATTTAATAAACAAACGCTTGTTTATTCATTATATTTACAAAGCTCTTTAATTAAAAATTCTTAAAAAATTTTTATTATACTACATTTACAGTTACATTAGCATATTAAAATACACGATATGAGCTTGTATTAAAGAGAAATTTGGGAATTTCTCGTCTTAAATGCTGGTTAACTTAATTGTTTCTTATATTATTCACTTAGAATATGTTTTAATTATTGATTTTTTAAATGTATTTTATTAAAATAAATTTTTTTATTTGTATCCCTCCTATTTCAATGAATTAAACTGATAAATTATGCATTTAATAATATTTTAATGCTGCTTAATCTGTAAAGATTATATTAAATTGCTGGTAAAAAAATTAATTTAAAATTTATACTTTTAAGGAAAAAAAAACAATACAGATAAATCAGAATAATCCAAAATAAAAAATAAAATTAAATGATAACACTGAAAACACATAAATGATTAAATTATCAAAACTAATACATTGTAAAAATCTAAGAATAAAATTAAATTATTATAATTTGATTTAGTCAAAAGAAATTTTAAAGTCAAATTTTAAGGGGGAAAAAAGTAGAATTATTTTGAATCTATAATCTATAACTAGAATAATTTAGATTCTTATTTTACAAAAGATAAAATTGAAAATTTTTGGAACATCTGCTGCAATTTTTTTTTCTTTCTTATATTCATTCTTTTGAAGATGAGGGATAATAAGAAAGAAATTTCTTTTGACATTGGGAATTTTTTAGTTTTTAGTAGATTTTGAAATCAATTGCTTATGTTAGATAGAAGAAGAATATATACTTTCTCCTTCCTTATTTTTCTCTCATATTGTTTGGATCAAGTTCAAATTTGATAAAACTGTAAAAAATTATTATTAGTAACTGATATATTGTTATTTAGAAAATTTGAATTTTAAAGTAAAAATTATAAATTTAAATATGAAAAAATAAACCATTTCATTTCAAAATTATTTTAATTTAATGACTTTAAAAGAGAATTTTCCATTAAATTTATTATAACAAATTAATGAAGACTTTCAAATAAAAAGTAATAATAAAAATAAGTATAACTAATTATTAAAAGAAAATTTTAAAAGTTTGAATATAATATTTTATAAATATATCTTAATAAATCAAGTATAAATTAATGATTTTTCAATAAAACATTATTAATTTATTTTTATATTTATCAAGGGAATAATTATTGATTTATATAAGCGTGGATAATTAATTTTTAATTATTATTTTTACATTTTTTTATTTATAAAATGAATTTTTATTTTAATTAAATTACATTCCTTTTGAGTGATGTTGGAAAGAGAGATTTACAGGGTATCGACCGTGCTGCCATCTAACGTCGGAAAATAGAGTTAACGTAATTCTCTAGTCAAACTTTTATAGTTTAGTTCTTGAGACATAAGAAATCGCAATTTTAAAAAATAATAATACTTTAAAAGTTTAAAAACTGTTAATATTTAATAACTTTCTACCTGTTCCATAATAGATTTATCACATTGTCATGTATCAGTAATGTGTTTTTTTTTCTCATAAGTTCATAGTGATATATCTTAGTATTTGACTCGAATGAATTATAAATAACATAAAAATATATAATACAACGCTTTATAACGATAGTTTATTATAGTTTAAAGGTATAAAAAGTACAGGTTTTTGTGGTAGAGTTTCATTTGTAAAGATTACTGATGAACAATGATTTATCACATTTGATAAATGAACAATATTTATTAGGCGAATAAATAACGCTTACACTACAAATTATGAAAGATGGAAAGCGAGATAAGTGACATTCTAAACAATACAAAACAGACTTAGACATTGTTTATTTCTTCTGAATAAATTATATACTTTAATATATTTAAAAGCATTTAAGTAAATTAAGATTTATGCTTGAAGATATGTTGTGTTTTTCTGCTAATTTAATTAACTTTAAAATAAGTGTGTACATATATATATGCTTTTTTATATAAAGAAATAACTGAATAATCGGAAATCATTTACATTAATAAATTAAATTATATACTGTTATATATAATAATAATCTTGTACAATTATGCTGATGAGAATAAGGAGTAATGTACTATTGATGAGATTAATATATAATATTAATGCTCTCTGAAGGTTGGCAATTCCATAATACTTCATTATAAAGTTGTGTCAGTATTTCGAAACATTTATTATTAAATTACAGTTGTAATATTCATTTTAGTAAGGAATTCTTTCAATAAAAACCAATTTATAATGGGTTTACTCAATATAAAGATTTAAATGCATGAAGGAAATCTATTGAATATCGAAGCTTTGCCAATAAAAAGTTACATTTTTGAAATATTATAATAAAAAAAACTCTTTTATATATCAAAATTCCTTTTAAAATAGACCCTCCAACGACACCTTCATTAAAAGAAACCGATGCGTCATATTCCTCTATACAGTTATCATGGGACAAAAACATCGATGGAAATCCAGTTACAGGTAAATTAAATCTTTAAATAATTAATTAAAAATATAAATAAGTTTAACAAGAAGAAGAGAAAGTGATGATAATAATCGATAATTTAAGCCTGACGTTTTAAGATAAGAAGGAATTTAAAATAAACTACTGTAATATTTACTATGATAGATAGATAAAAACGTATCCAGGAAAAAAAACTTTTAATGATTTGTAACATCTGGAAAGCGATAAAAGAAGTAAAAAAGTTCAGAACGAAATTTAATGGCCAAAGCAACATTTGTGTCATCTCTTGTTTTATCCTCATTTTAATTGATAACAGTTAATGGTCCTAGCTGGGAATTAATTTTCAGCTCGAATGCAGTTCGTGACTATTTTTAGTATAAATCCTCCCTTTTTTTCTTAATTAATAAAAACACAGAAAAAAGAGAGAGTAGAAGAACATTCTTGAGATTACTCTCTGCGCTTTTCTAAATTAATATATATCCAATTAATCAAAATATATACGAAATGAATTTTTATACTTTAATTTTAATGATGTTTAACTTTTTAAAATATTTTCCGCTTTTATACATTAAACAAGAATGTTTCTATATTTTAATTAATTTTCTTAATTGAATAATGTTCATATATTTTAAAAATTTATGAAGTTCTGTATGAAAAAGCAAGTAAAAATAATTTAATAAAATAAATTTTTAGTTTATAAATTCTACAACAGATGTCTCTAGTTGCAATATATATATCCCCCTTTTCTTCCTGGTATCTTTTAAAATAATTTAATAAAAATTTAATTAAGCTTTTTAATTTACTTTTATATACAAAAATAATTAACAATTTAAAATTAATATTAAGTTATATATTTTAACGTTTAGGTTATTATCTTAGGCAGAGGCAAGAGAATAAAAATTGGGAAGAACTTCATGTTTCTGGTGAACATAATTCTTATACAGCGTTAAATTTAGAGTGTGGAAGCCGTTATCAATTCTCTTTGGTTGCATATAACTCTGCAGGAAAAGGTGAACCTAGCGATATATTAACTGCTAAAACTGAAGGAACTGGTAATTATTTTGCTCTTAATTTTCAAAAAATATACACTAAAAATGATTTAAATAGGGATTTTAATAGGAATTTTAATTTGATTGATATCATTTAATATCTGCTTAAAATAAACCTACATAAAATTAATATCTTATGCTTTTAAAAGTTTAAATTACATAATGTAGCATAAATGATTAAAAAATTTTAATTTTACATGTATAATTTGTTATATTATATTTTAAAATGTTAATATTGATTATATATAAAATATATATCAATTTATTAATGAATTATAATTTTTTTAAAAATATTAGAGATAAGTTGAAAATTCGACACCAGATGGAGCCACGTGCGTAAAGCTGCCTTCTGTTTACACCATTTTCTAAATTTTTTAATTAAATTTTATTTGACATTAAATCGATAAAAATATTTTTTGCATTAATTTAATAATTCAAGTTTCCTTTAAAAATATATAAAAAGTTAAGATCATTGAATAAACAAATATATTGATTTTTCAACAACGTTCTATAGCACAGTTATAATATTAATACTGTACAATATCTTATCAGCATCACTAATTGAGAGAATGTTTTGTATAAAATCTTTTATAAATCCATCGAATAAAGTATTTTGAAAGTAAAGCCTATAAGAGATAAACATCCCGAAGTTATTAAGTACCATTCTTTTCAGAAATAATCGAATTAATTTGCATGTTTTCCACATTAAAGAGGAAAATTGTGATCACGATGCAGAAATTCAGTAGAGAAATGACTTTTATTCGTCCAAGTAATTCTCTTTAGATAGATAACTTAATCGTCAGTTAAATAATAAAAATGATATTTCGCTTTATGTATTATAAAATATTAATAAATCCGCCTTCTCTTGTCATTAGCACGTTTATCTAATTTTTATAACTTAATTAAAAATTAATAGTAATTAGTAACCAAATGTTGCAGAAACGTTTCTCATAAAACTGTAATTAGTTGGCAAAAATTGTTTTTAAATGAATTTCTAATTAATTAATTAAAACTGGAGTTGAAAACAATTGATTTTAAACGTCGCGAATAAAAATTATTTGCAACTTCCATTACTTTTTCTTAAAAGAAAACGCATAAAAATAATAATTATCGTATAGTAAATTAATTATCCGACTTAATATATTTTTCTACACGTTAAATAATAATTTAGCCAATTAATAAAATTTTATTAAAAAATCATTAAATGATAATCATCTGATAATTCAATTTAATATTGTTAGTGATTGTGGTTAATTACATGAAAGTTCTAACTTCTGTTGTTGCAGATCTTTATTCAGAGCTATTGTAGAAACTATAAAAGTCATTCCTTTATAACCTCGAGACAATTTAAAAACACTAATCTTAATTCACTAGTGCTAATTGACCCTAATTTGGACGCTAATTATAGAGGTATCAATAGAAGAAGTAAGGGAAGAAAAGTTATGACGAAAATAACGAAACTTCTGCTTGTTTTAAGCAGTTCTTTTACCAATTAATCCTGTCTTTAATTAGAAAGAAGCATTCTCGTTAAAATCAACCTTTATTACTTTGTTAAATTGTTATTAATGAGTAAATTAAAGTCAATCTCTCTCACGTATATCTTAGTGGAAAAATACATATTTTATAATAATTTGTTGTTTAATTTATAATATTTAAGACGTAAATACTGTAAATTTTAATGAAAACTTAGTGAAAATGTTTAAAAATTTAGAATGAAGGTGTGAAATCTTCAACTTGTGCACTTATTAAAAACAAACTAAAAATCTGGATTTACATTAGAGAAGTTATTATGCAAGTTAAAATGTTTTCTAAATTATAGTAAAGGAACTTTAAGAGAACACATAGTCGTACACTTACTTTAATTGTCTATCAAAATGTTGGCATGGCATCATTTTCCAAGAATCCATCACCAATCTCTTTACACTTGTTTTATAAGATGTGGACATAAAATAGTAGTTTATGGGTGTCGCTACACATTAGCTATTGGTTTGTAGCACTACTAATGACTTTGTAAACGACAGACTACATTATTGATAAGAGTGTCGTTAACCTTACTCGACATAGGCATACATTATAGTCAAGATGGCTAATGAGATGTCTACAGCAAGGTTGGGATAATCAGGCTTGACAAGTGATTAGAATTGCATTACTCTATGTTGAAATCTTTACATTTTAGTTTAGAAAAGATACGCTTTATATCTATTTAATTACCTGTATATCACACTTACTTCTTGTTTCAGTTCTGTAAAGTTGTTTTAGTAATGATGATCATCTGTTTAAAAATTTAATAAAATTAATTAAATATCTTTGGTGTAGTTAATGTAATAATTGATTTTCGAGATTTTCTTTCTTACTTTTTTTCTTCTCAGTTCCTGTATCACCCGATATGGCGACAGCATTGACTTATAACTCGACTTCAGCAACTGTCCACATGAATAGTTGGCACGATGGCGGATGTCCATTGACAGGTTTTCTAATTCGATATAGACAGAAACACGAAACAATGTGGAGAGTGATTGCAGAAAACGTACCAGCTGAACAAAATCACGTAGATATAACTGGTTTAACTCCCAACACTTGGTACGATGTGTTAATAATTGCCGAAAACACAGCAGGATCGACCGACACCGAATATAGTTTTCTAACTTCTCCAATATTTGGTGAATATCTTTCATAATAATTAAATTTATGATAGCATTTTTTACTCATTTTTTCTAAGTTTAATTAATATTTAAGCAGCTTAAATCTTATATTCTTTGTAATCTAGTGGCTCTTTTCTACAGAGTCCATTACCCCGAAGACAGTCATCAATAAAGATACTATTCCATTTTACTTTGATATGACGATAATACTTCCAGTATCCGTCTCTCTTATCGTCATCATCATTGTCCTGATAGTAGTTTGCCTTGTCGTCAGGAAAAAGAACTCTTCTGAAAGTTCTCACTGCGGTAATAAAGCATTTCTACGTGATTATCATAGAATAATGTCATTTTATTAATACGAAAATATTCCTTATAACAAATACAAATCTACAAATATATATTTTTTAAGTATTTTTATAAACTGTTTCATATAATTACTTATAAAATATCCTTTAAAATGGGGTCAGGTTGAGCAGATATTAAAAATGTTTTATTAAATAAAGAAATATCGTGTATATCTGGGAATTTGGAGAGTAATTTTCGGGATATAAATATTAAGAAAAATGCTAAAATTCTACAATTTATCAATATTATAAGCTGTTAAACGTCTTCGAACTTTCACGGCTGTTACAGATGATAGAAACTATCGTCGTAACTTTTAATTATTAAGATTTATGTTAATAATAAATAAATAAANTCGGAAAAGAAGGATGCGTATATATAGTGGAAAATAGAGATGAAAATCGGATTGTAGTAAGAGGAAAGAATAGATAAGAAGATAAAAATATATATTATCCTTTTTTTTTAAAAACTGTTACCACATTTCTATCTTTTAATACGTTATCAAGAATTATACTTAATGTGTTGAACGATTTTTTTTCTAAGTAATTCTTCTTTTCTTATATTAAAAGGGGATTAAATCTATATTTTGCAAGAGATTTTATTTCGTTATCCCTTGCCAATTTTATGTATGTAATGTAACAAACAGGAAAATAAACGTTAATCCAAACGCAAATAAAAGATGTAATCCTATTTTAGTGTAAATGTTCTCATATCAATCATCATTTTTTTTTCTTTAAAACGATAAACTAAGATAATAAAACATAGATTAATGAAGACTTACAACTACAATCTGCCTTCATTGTATGCGTATGGAATAAAATAAATGAAAATTTATTTGTTGTAATTCTACTTTATTTTTTGCCTTTTTTTTGAGATTATAATTGTTACTTTTAATATATTTTAAACTTCGTTTTTAGATACGAATTATTAGAAACTATCGTGGCAACTGGCGTTACATCAGAAGTATTGATTCGTCAAGCTGACAGAAGAGATTCCGCTCTCTTTACATGCATTGCTACAAACTCATTTGGTCGAGATGATACCAACATTCAACTGATAATACAAGGTACAATATGGATTTAGTTTGATATTTACTATAATTATGTAGCCATTTTCAATGATTAAATTGTACGAATAGATTTCATTATTGTATAAACTTATAATCTGTANCTTGTTTCGTGATTTATAATGTATTGTTTTTTCCATATATTTATAATGTTTTACCTTAGCTTTATTTTTATAATATACTTTGTTTTCTTATTATTTTATACTGTATTGTTTTTAATTTGCATTCATTTTAATATTTTGGAGTTTGTTATAACCTGCAATAGTTGGATAAATAAATAAATTTAAATATATTTTTTATATTATTTTATTAAGATTAAATATTTAAGGAATGTTTTTACGGCATTCTGATTTTATATTTTATATAAATTTTTATTAAATTAGCTTTAATTGTGTTAAAGTACTGCTATAAAGAAGCACAATTATTTCGTCCCAGATAAGATCTTAATGTAAGTCTATAAAATAGTCATATACCTAAAAACATTGTATATTTTATCAATTAGAAAATACTAAAAGCAAATATAAATATGTAAGACGGCCATTTTGTAATTTCAACATTTAATTTCAATCAAACATAAGGCAAAAGTAGTGAAATTATAATGTTTAATTTTCAGACATTCCATTGATTTTAGCCGTGTAACTCCAAACCAGTTATTTTTAGTACCTAATAAATATTTTCCTCAGAATTTCACACGAAACAAGAGACAGGATTTAGTGTATACTCAATAGATCTTAACCCATTACAAGATCTAAACTGTTCTTTTCCGCTCCATTTCTTTTTCTTATTAGATGAAAACACATTTAGCAACGGCTTGAGGTGCAAACTATAGATATATATAGACTATATCTAAAACTTTCCCCATTTACAATAGTTAGAAACGAGTCATTTGTTAAATTTTACCCAATATAGTATGGCAGGTTTAGGTTATTTCATTATTTCTCTGTTAAACGTCTTCGAACTTTCACGGCTGTTACAGATGATAGAAACTATCGTCGTAACTTTTAATTATTAAGATTTATGTTAATAATAAATAAATAAATAAACAATTATGATGATGATAAATTTTAATCTAGAGTGTAAGTCGGATTCATATTTCTGCAATTATATAGAATAGTGGGCCATTCCATTTTGCTAGTTGAATGTGACTTACTTTCAGACTTTGTTAAGCTGTAAAATCTTCAGTAAATTATTCTGGATAATGAATTTAAGCGATTTTCAAATGAATGTCTTTAAATAATTGGAAGCATAATCTGTTCATTAGAATTTTGTCGTATTTGGTACGGTCCTAACGATCTTGTTCGTTCTTAATGGCCGACAAACATGTTTACAATGTCACTCGTTCTCGTGTAATGCAGTTTACCATTATACAATATGCTAAATAGGAAACATGGCACACGTTAAATCAGTCCACTAAATTTGTTTGATGTATGCTCAACATAAAAGAATATTACCCTTTTAAATATTACTTATTTTTAATATTTTGAACAGCTTCTCTTAAAAAATATTAACAATCTTTTCGAGTTATTTATTTATTCGCATTTAAATTATAACAATTTTTATTTAAAAAGTAAAAAGATAATCAGTAGTTTATGAATTTTATTTTTATCTTAAGTAATTACATTCAATTACTTATTATTTTTAATATCATAAACTCGTTACGTTGTAGTAATATCTTCACTTTATACTATATATATATATCGTGTGGACCATNAAATGAAATTTTCTCTCGAATTAATATATATATAAATCGACAAAGAAAGAACGACTAAATTCGTATTATTTTCGTATTGTGGTTTATAATTTTATTTCCATTGATCCGCAGATTACTTGGGAATTATGATAATTGATACGTTTAATAATGATTTAATTACAATTTACTTCCGAATATTAAGTAAAAAAGAAAAAAGTTTCACATAATTAATATTAAAATATCTAAATTCTATTTCCTTTTACAAAACTAAATGTAATATAATAATCATTAATCATTAACATCATTAATGCTCATTGCCATTTATAATTAAAAAATTAATATATTTTCCAACCTAACGATTTGCAAGTTCTGAGAAGAATTATATTATTATATAATTCTTAAGGCGCATTGCATTATCAACAGAATTAATAATTTTATTCAATATAAAAATATAATGGTCAGAAAATAAAATATTATCAAACTTTACAACGTAGTTTAATGACAAACTACTTGGAATTTGTAAAATCCTTCAATTGTTAACAGGATGTTACACTTGTCATTTATGTTTTTAAATTATTTTTATGATGTTTTGCTAATTCTAAGGTAAAATCTCTACTAACATTTTTTAGTGATAAATTTCTAAATATAAATTTTTTCTATATAGATATATATATATATTTTTAATCATATTTTTAATTTAATTTAAAATATATGCTCTTCACCTGAAATTAGTAGTGTCTTGCCCCTGTACATCATACTTTTCCTGTTATAATAAAGTCGTGCCAGTCATCTATCTAACTCCTTTCAGGAGAAAATATTTGAATTGAAATAACGTGATTTTTGGTTAGAATCAGATGTTATATATATTTAATAGGGGCTTTCTGTTCCTCTACTGTTTCCATATCTGGTCTTGTCATTCATGTATCTAACTTTGTTCTTGAGATTAGGGAAAGACAGACGGACGGACGACAGTGAGAATTTATAGGTCTACAATTATTACAAAATTGCAGCCCAATTAAAATATGACTCATTTTATTAAAAACAAATTTATATGTCAATAAATTGATTAATATATATACTTCTATCAAGAATTCAATGCATTATTTTCAGTTCTATGATATAAATTTTAGCAATTTTTCGTTTCTTTGACATGTTTAAACTTTTACATTTTCTCTATTGACTGTATTATAACTCGACTTCAGCAACTGTCCACATGAATAGTTGGCACGATGGCGGATGTCCATTGACAGGTTTTCTAATTCGATATAGACAGAAACACGAAACAATGTGGAGAGTGATTGCAGAAAACGTACCAGCTGAACAAAATCACGTAGATATAACTGGTTTAACTCCCAACACTTGGTACGATGTGTTAATAATTGCCGAAAACACAGCAGGATCGACCGACACCGAATATAGTTTTCTAACTTCTCCAATATTTGGTGAATATCTTTCATAATAATTAAATTTATGATAGCATTTTTTACTCATTTTTTCTAAGTTTAATTAATATTTAAGCAGCTTAAATCTTATATTCTTTGTAATCTAGTGGCTCTTTTCTACAGAGTCCATTACCCCGAAGACAGTCATCAATAAAGATACTATTCCATTTTACTTTGATATGACGATAATACTTCCAGTATCCGTCTCTCTTATCGTCATCATCATTGTCCTGATANTACATTATATACATATATATATTTTTAATTTCTATAAAGAATAAATAGAATTTATATTTTAGAATCGATTTATTGCATAATTTATGATATTTTTGAAGGAAATTTACGTCTGTCGATATAATAAATTTATAAATCTAGAAAGAAAAACGCAAATTTCTTATAAAAATATATTTTAAATCTTTTTTAATTACGATGTATTTTTAATGGAGGGACTTGATGCTGCACTCACTACATCTACAAGATAAACAACTGTAAGAAGCGCTTGTTTCGTGATTTATAATGTATTGTTTTTTCCATATATTTATAATGTTTTACCTTAGCTTTATTTTTATAATATACTTTGTTTTCTTATTATTTTATACTGTATTGTTTTTAATTTGCATTCATTTTAATATTTTGGAGTTTGTTATAACCTGCAATAGTTGGATAAATAAATAAATTTAAATATATTTTTTATATTATTTTATTAAGATTAAATATTTAAGGAATGTTTTTACGGCATTCTGATTTTATATTTTATATAAATTTT